CCAGTTGGACCTGTTTCTAGGCCTCCATCTGGTTAATTGTTTTTCAAAGTTCGACCTGGTCATTGGATGAATATATATATATATACTATAACCATATACATATCTCACGGTAGTGTCCTACCTCAACATATATTACTAATCATATTAAACGCATAAAACAATATGTATTTTTTACCTATTATAATACTATTTTTCTGTGAGTCTAGTTGGCGTCGACGGTGAATGTGCTCGTGGGTCCTGTGGTTGGTGTCGTAGACAGTCAAGCGTGTACAATTCTTCTTGAAGTGGACCAGACGGCCACAGTGGGCTGCGTCGTGACCAACGTTCTCGATCCGTCCGATGAGCATCGACTGCTCCAACTGCTGCCTGCGCGACGGCCAAAAGCGTTTACATTTACTCATTTGACGCCTGGTCAGCAGTACACGGCGCGATTTCTCGGCTTAGACCCGTCGTCTAGTGCTGGTGAAGGCTGCTGTTCATTCCACACTCCGGGGACCGCGCCGACGCGGTGGAACGTCGTCCTCGTGTGCCGGGATTTGCAAGTATGCTTCACATCCCCAGCTTCGTCGTCGTCGTCGCAGCTGTGGTCGACGATCGAAGCGACGACGAGCCAACCGTTTTCCGCGTTAAACTTAGTTTTGCATTTGGGAGGACAGGTAAATAGATGTACGGTTCATCCTTGTTTGTACGTGAATTTAGTGCGTATTTCACCCAATTTGGTCGCGTTTTTTGGAGTCTATTTGTCAATATTATTTGACGCTACTGCTTTAGCTTGTACAAACTATACGATACAAAGTTGAGTATAAATATATATATTTCAGATTTGGCCGAACGGAACGGAATTTGTACTTTGGATTGGCAGAGAAAGTCACCAGAATGGTGATTTGATATATTGGCTTGGGCGGTTGTAATACATTCGTTCTCGTACGACATTCAATGATCCTTCAGGATCGACTCTTTAAATATATATATATATATTTCATATATATATATATATATATATATCATGAAATAACTTGAATACATACACATGTATATAGGTGATCGTACAAGGGAATGCATCGGTAGATCAAGCGCGGGCGGTGCTCAAAGCAGCTCGTACAAGTGGAGGTCTGAACGAGGACTTAGCCAAGGAACAGCTGCGTAATGTGTATCGACACCACTGGAACGTTCCTGCGACGAGGTTAATTCTTCTCATTATTATCGTAATTTGTGATATACTAAATTCTAGACAAGCGCTAATGTGTGGGTCACATGTGATGGTGTGGAATGAGCGCGATGTATTGGATTCTACGAGCGACGACGACGACGACCGGCACGACGAGGATATGACGCACCTGTCAACATGGATGGAGGAGGTCGCCCACGAGTATCAGGACCAACTGTGGCTGCCCAATGCCCTCTATGCACAAAAGTGGGGTAGCTTTGGGTTGTATGTGTGGCGAAAACGCGTACGAATATATATATATATATATATTATATATGTGAATAATAATATGTGTTGTTGTAGAGACCACAAAACCAAGACGAGTCAACTCGATGGATAAAACTCGACCAGTTGCTACGCCAACCCATCACGAGTCTTATATTGGCGTGTGACCAGCCCCTTGTGGACGACTCGGTCGAAGACACGGCAGAAAAGGTATAGATAGATATCGCTACTACTAGTAGTAACTACTACTCGCTTGTATTCCCCAACTAGTAATACTAACGACAGTTGCAATGTTGTGGATGTCACTAGGCAAAGTTCAACTCGGCGTATACCCGTCGTATACCATACGAAGGCGCCGACTTGCTCAGACTTTTGCAGGTCTTATTGGAGTGGAAAGGACCTGCCACCAGTTCCAAGTACGTTGTCGACTAACTACTACAACTACTTCTCAACAAGTCAACCTATTTAAATATATATACATATTATATTTGCAAACGCACGCCTGGAAGGTTTTTAATTTTATATTTGTAAAAATATTTGCCAATATATAATATATTTATGATCACGAACGCACGGCTGTGAGGTGATATATATATATATGTGAGATGTACTCGTACAATTTCGCTAACGCACATCTGTGACGTTCGTTATATATGCATTTGTACGCCGTAGAGTACTACAACCAAATCTCAACAAATCAACCTATATATGTATTAATTCAACCTATATATATATAATACTTGCAAACGCACCTTGGTGAGGTTATATTATTTTTATATAAAAAAATTTGCCTATATATATTTATATATTTTCGCTACCGCACGCCTGTGAGGTGATAAAACTAGTTTCTACATTTGATATATACTCATATTCGCTAACGCACATCTAGGACGTTGATATATATATATATATAATATATATTTGCTAAGCCTAGTTTGTGTGAGAGTAGGCACGTCGTGTGTGTGTGTGGGAACGACTACTATGGCTTTGATACAGTCATTCAGCATGCAGTTTCCAATGCAGCCATTCGACAAGTGGTCGTGGGTCCACTGTGCTCGGAGTTGTCAGTTGAGATGCTGGCTGCTATCACGTACTTGGGTCAAGGCACCATCGGCCACGTTGCTACCTATTGCCACAACTTTCATCCGGCTTACCTGCAGCCCCACTTTGGGTACCTGTCATTGGCAGACGACACCAGCAGTAGTAGAAGTCGCCACCAGGAGCCTCCTCAACCTGCATTCACGTACGAATTGGTCGTTCGAATCCACAACTGCTGCGACACCGTTCCAAGCCACGAAATCGGAGACCAGGTCACTTTGCATGACGCTGCGACGTGGTGCCCCTCGGCCAACTTGCCGCTGCATTTGAATCCGGTAGAATTGCTTTACTATCGCTTGTCTTTTATATATGACTCGTGGATGGTTTATTCGTGAATAGGAGGGCAAACCGTGGACAGACGAGTTAGGGCTACTATTTAACAAAATCAACGATGTGCTGGCGACTCTAAAGGACTTCGAGTGGGCCGATGCCTACGCCTGTACCCGCCATCCTACCCACAGCTCCCGCAATTGTTTACAGCTTACACATGCATTGTACCCTGGTTTGCGCCGGCTATTCGAGGTATATTCGGCAACATGGAGGCGTGATTTTAGTGGCTTTTCGCTGAATTTGGACAGTGTTCTTTGAGGCACGATTCGAGTCTAAGCAGGTTCAATGTATACTATACAAAGTTGAAGATGAACAACATCCATTACCCATGCCAAAGTACACTACACGTTGATTGGTTGAAATTTCTCGTGATTTTGCACTTGGATTGATGCCAAATTGCAATATATATATATATATTTGAATTTCACCCTAGTTTGGACTTGAGAGTCATTTCGCCAAATAGCGTTTGAATCTATATTTGATCCTAATTAATCTTGTACACACTATACTTTACAAACATTAGTATATATTGGTTTTGCCCAATGCGGAGGGGCAAACGTTTCTATTGGCAGAAATTCGATATAACGTGATTTGATTGGCTCTGGTGGTTCTTGAATTGATTCTCCTAAGACATTCGACTATTCTGCTGATTTGACCATACAGTATATATATATATACATATATATCTTGAGTAAAAATAGCATATCATATACTCAGTATCATGATGATATTGTTGCGATTAGATTGGCGGGTTGAAGCTTGGAGCGCTGGTGATACTGCCGTCGATGTATGTGTTATATGCAACAATGGCGTCCAAAGAGCAGCACAAGCTTGGGATGGTCGACATCGGTCGGTTCCAGCAGCTGTGCCTCGACACGATCGAACTGTCCCTTCGCTTGAAGCCACCTTCTCAAATCGCCATCCCAGAAACCTCCAAGTCAGTAGAACCACGGCACGACACAAGCAGACCCGTCGTTGGTGTCGTGAATAAATATATTTGATATAAATTCGCACTTGGGCGTCGATAGTGGCTACTGTAGGACGTAATAACGAGATTGGGAGTTTGGAGGTTATAAAGTGTGGTTGAACAGACTACTACTACATGTACTAGTTAGTACTGTAGTGAAGGGTACTAGTAGAGGATGGCAGCCCGTCGCCGATGGATTGAATGGTCTGGAGGACGGTGGCGTGGAGGTGGGGAGGGGTCCATTGAAGCTGCTGATGCACCGTGGAAGCTGACAATGCAGCAGCTTGGGTTCGTCGTTGCTGTCGAAGTTGTGCTGGATTGGGTGGTCCAGTCTATGTGATTTGTGGGCATGGCGGCGCAGTTGCCGTAAGTGGCTCACTTGTCTACAAGGATATATATATATATCTACTTGTATATAAGGGTCATGTTGCCAACCTGGACTGAAGGTAGCGACTCATGTCGGTGGTTGCGTCGGCTTCTGTGGCACCCTTCAACATGGATCATGTAGTCAATAATTATGGATCTCTTGTAGGGTCGTTACCGGTAGATCGTTTTCATCTAGTTCGTGGCCACACAATGCCTGAATGCGACGTAATGTATCGTCGACCTGGGTGCCAAGAAAGGTCAATGTTGGTGTTCGCTCGTCTACAAAGTGCTCAACCCATTCAGTCAACTCCCCACATGTGGAGAGTGTATCGTACAATACAATACATCCGTCGTTGTAGCGCTGGGAACACCACGCGAGCGGGTCTTTTCGTGACAACTACCGATAGCAGTTGCCTTCACACTCAAGTTCTCGACAAGGTTGTCCAGGTCCAGGTGGTCGCTGGTGCATCGATGAGGTCACGACGTTAAGCATGGGGTGACATGGCAAAGGTTCCTACCCCCTTTCTCTCTGCCGTCGATGTAGTCGATTGATCGTGCACGTAATCTTGTGCATAATGCGATCAAACTCATCCTTTGTGGGTGCCAGTGACTTTGGCGGCGACGTTTCCATGGATGGTATGGTGGCGCGGCATAATATCCGGATAATCCCCTTCAACCTTCGATCGTTTTTATCCGGAATATTCGATTTTGGACAAAGGGGCATTTCGAAAGGTTGCGAGTTGGCGCCATGAGGTAAGACATGCGGCCGATTGCGTGGTGCGGAAGGATTCGTCTGATGCACATGTAGTCACGAAGCGTACATGGTGATGCCGCACGAGGCCGAGTACATGATCGAGAACCTGACGCCGCTGCCGTTGCAGAGTATGGGTTCCGCCGAGTTCATGCGGCTGCACGGGGACGTTGAGAAGCTCAACTTGCAAGCGCATCAAAGCGCCAAACAAAAGTCCGACAACTTCGTCGTGGAATCTCTCTTGACGTTCAAGAAACTGCCCGTGTTGATCTACAACTTGCTCGCGAACGAGCTGTGGAAGGAGAAGGTGTTCCCGACCTTGGCCGACTATGGGGATGCGGCGTCCATGCGCACGTACTTTGTGGTACATGTCCCTCCCCCCTTTGCCACTCTTGACGTCATATGCTCACACATGTGTAGCTGTACCATGAAGCGGTGCTGTGCAACCTGCTCGAAGTATCGTTTTACCACGAACACGTTGTCGAAAGCTTAGACGACGAGACGTTGATGGAAGTCGTCGACTACTGCATGCGCAAGATCACGTGGTTGATTCAAACACCTCGCGAAGTCTTTCGCACGCAGACGACGTTCCACAAGTCTGGTCAGGACATTGTGCGCGAGCTGGACACTGCGTCCCGCGCGGACGAGCTGCGTCGGCAATGGCTCGAGCTCGAGTTCCGGGTGTCGGTTCAATGCGTGACCATCCTTCGATACATTTGCGAGCGCGTGCACCTGTTGTCGTTGAACTTGCTCAGTCGGGTGCTGGACAAGCACGATGCGTTGCTTTCGTTCGTGGCGCTGCTAGAAAATCCGCCGTGGACGTACAAAGCCCCTGACAACACATGGAAGAAGTTCGATCATCAGAAGTGGACACAGGTCGCCCCATGTGACTTGCTGCAGATCACGACCACGGAAGCGCAGCCGTGGATCGCCCTCTACTTTCTCGTGTGTTCAAAGGCAGCGCGGGACCAGTACCAGCTCACGTGCTTCCGCAAGAACCAAGTGCTTCGCGTGCGCAAGTACCTGAACGACGTCATGCTGGACCAGCTGCCGCTTCTCGCCGACGTCCAGCGGTTCCTAGACGAACTAGCGATCGTCCAATTGAATCCAAACGCCGTGTCTGCCGCCGCCAAGCTCGTGATGGAAGTAGTGCCGGTGATCCGCACCGCCCTGGTCCGCGAATACAGAGCCCAGTACACACAACTGGGAGTGGCATACCTCGATGCATGTGCCTCCATCAACCGCCAAGACGACATGAAGACATTGGCAGACGTGTACAACATGGACGGCCTCGACGATCTCTTGGACAGTGGCGGCGGCGGCGCGACTACCTTCTCCACAGACCAAAACCAACCCAACCAGATGCCTCCAGCTAAACGAAGTCCGCTGTCAGTGAACTTGGTGATTTCCAACCACTACCACCATATGCAAAAGATCATTGCGCTGGACGATAACAACTGCGACAGCGTCGAGCAGTGCGTGATCTGTGACGTGGTGCTGTCGTCGGAAACCGTCGTGGACACCACCGACGGCAAGTACTTTCGGTACGCGCTGCAGCGGCGGCGTGCGGTTGACTCGACCATGCTCCAAGATCATGAGCCGAACCAGCAGGACGTCGACAGCGTCGTCGTGGCCACCCACGCGCACGTGCATGCTACGGTCGCCTTCGACGATAACCAAATGCCACCCATTCACTTGGCAAACCCTGACGTAAACCTGCCCGTGGATATCATCAGTAACAACCAGAAGAGCATTGCGAAGCCAGTGGTGTGGCGCCAAGTGGGTATCCTGGACCAAGGACAAGGCGTGGTTCAGATGCAGTTGAAACTCCTAGACACGAACCGGTACGAGGTGGGCTCAGTCTTCCTGTCGATTCCAGCTACCCCTCCCGCCGCCGTTCCCTCGTAAAGTAACTTACAAGCAAGACTCAAAGTGTGGATAAATATATATATATACATGTATAATATACTAGTATATAGAGACTTTAACGTGTTTGAATCTATATATATATATGGTTGTGTTTCATCTAAACGGGGGTGACATGGGGAGGATGTATCGACATGATTCAAAAATGTACAGAAGTATCGATATTCAGCCAATCAGATGGTAGGAATCCACCATCACCATCGAATTAGTGTGTAAGGGTGGGTCTGGATCCCACCGCAATTTTTGCCCATATAATTTTTCGAAAATTTGGTTTAAAGTAATTCGACGAATTTGGTTGACTGTCTGGATCAAACAGATTTTTTGGCGAAAAACGAGATATTTGGCAAAATATTGAATTCTCCAAATTTTGGATCCAGAAGATATATTTTTTCCCCTCTTTTGCCGATTTCTTAGAAATTGCCAAAATATCCAAGATTTTGGACATTTCTTTGCGATCCAGACGCACCCAAACTAAATTAGTGTGATTCCCATCACCACAGGACTAGACTACCTTTTCCTTACAATAGCTAACAGAATTATCAATCGATAGATTTGGCGATTCAGCCCAAAAGTAGTCCAAATATATGGGGTAAAAGGACAATACTACTAGTACGACATGATTGGGTACCCGTTGATTTGCGGGAGTTTACTCCATTACGATTAACTATCTTGTTTTCAATATTTATTTTATATAATATATATATATTGCCATGTATTAATGTACACACAGCCGTTGGTTTATGGGAGTAGAGTCCATTACGATAATTCTCGATATTGTCCGTGTTGGACTTAGTTGAATTCAAATGTGACTGTGACAGCGTACCGCAGTCGCACCTACAATATGCAAATGAGAGAATTCTACCATTAATTTTAAAATACTTACTTGGTCGGTGCGGTACACGACATACTCATTGTACAGCAATGATCCGCCTTCCGCATCTGTGGGCACGAGCGTTCCCTTGGGCATTTTCACTCCATCCTCCCTGATGTCGCAAGTCTTGTCAGTGTCACAGATTTAAGGGCAAACTCGTACGATGTCTCATGCGTGGCTTCACTGGGAGCCATCCGTCCCACGCCCAGGAGACTGTGGCACTTTAGCTTTTGGAGAGCCTCGAACGAATACTCTTGAGCGTCCAACACGTGCACGGGCGTGCCGAGTGCCACGTCACTTAAGATCAACACTCCCTTGAAGTGCCGTTAAGAGCTGTTTGGTTTTACAGACCATATTGGGGATTGATTGTGGATTCAGTAGAACCTTGGTTTGGTGAACGCTCGCCCAACAGTAATTGGCCGCCTTGGACGCCACGTCAGTGAAATATACCTGGAAAAGAATCAGTAAAGTAAGAGATCCATATATATATAGCGAAATACACGTGGAATGATTCAATGAGAGACCTAAACAGTGTATATAGATATGATATATATATATATATACTTACGCCTTTGCCAAACATGTAGCCCGTGGACGGCGCTTCTGGCGGCGCAATGCGAAGGCCCTTGGTCAAAATGCTCGCAATGTTGGACAAGCGAGAGCCATGCCACAGCAACTATATGAAAATATATTATCACTTTTTACATATAGAATTTTCTACAATTTCCCGAATCGGCGAGAAATATTAGTGCCTTTTTTGCCCAGTTTGCAATAAAAAAGCAAATGCTTCCAAGTATTAATGTAGCAAATCAGCGACCAGATATTTCAGATGGACCAATGGGAGAAGCGCTTTATAATCGGATGTAGGTCGCCGTGATTGGTCCGGATAATCGTACCAAATCCAGAGTAGCAGTAAGTATAATATTACTCATCGAGGACGTCATATATTCCGCGACATTTGGACAAAACACTTTAAATGGGATGAAAGATCTGGAACGTAAAGTTGGAACCATAGACAGAACTGTCTGTACCTGGTGGTTGTTGAGTGCATCAAACAGCAAAGAAGGATCCTTCTCATCGATTGAGTGGCTGGGTTCGAGCCTAACCAACATGTAAATATATATATTATATACATATATATATATATATATATATTGTGAATCGCAGAGGTTTCAAGTAGCTTATTGTAGAAGATATAAATAGGATGATTATAGTTGAAGTAATCAACATACTTGTGGAGGGCGTGGACAGCGTCCACGTGCAGCTTGTACTGGCGATGGGTTGGAGCGTGGGTGAGCTTGATGTACCTGATACAGGAATACCCGATTCAGAACAAACAATATCTCAATATGAACAAGATATGCAGAAACGTTGTAGATGATATATTAAATATATACAGTAGAATTAATAAAAATATAATACTCTTGGATGCGAGTAAACTCGGCAGACGACGCGTCGACTTCGGTTAACGTCATGCCGAGGGCGCTGTAATGTGCATCCACAGGGTTCACTTCGGAATTTCGTTCGGTTTGGAGCATTTTGTGGGTGATTTCCACGTCCTCTAGCACCTATATATGCATTCACGTCAGAGAAAAAATGCATATTTGTTGATATATATACATATAAATCGATTTATATACTTGATATATATATATATATCGATTTATATCATGACGGATTTAATGACAGAAAATGGTCCACATATAGCGGGCCACCTGAACCCCTGTAAATATATATATATATATGTACATTGTCTGTATATATTGCCAAGTGGACGTACTTGCAACAGGTCGAGCTTGAGTTTGAGTTCCGAGACGGAATCAATCACGGGCGGCAACGACATGCCAAAGTTGTGCGGGATCAACTACAACCACGAGAACATCGCCATCATCAAAAGCACAATTCTATGGAATCCATAAATATATAATTATATATATATAAGGCACCGTATAAAACTCGCTCGTCCGGTCCTTCAATTGCGCTTTGCACTTGGCCAATTGGGCCTTTGTAGTCGACGACGCGGTTGACTTGATCACTCGGGACGACCGGCGGCGGTGGCGTGGGGTGCTGCTGGTTCCTTCGACTTGCTTTGTTGCAGAAGCTGCATTCAGGTCGGCTATGGTGGTCAATGTATCGGAAATAAAATCCAATATGACATAGCCTTTGGCCAAGTGGGCCTTGGACAGTTTGCCTACATAAACGTGCGTGATTCCATGGGCAGAATACTAATATATAAATCACCAACCTAACGGCATGCGCTTCAAATCCAAGTGCATTTCCGCTACTTCTTGGGCGATCAAGTCGACGTCACAAATCAACTAACAAACATATATAATAGATGACGTTATCGTCCGTGATGTGGATGACAGCAGATCGCATCGACTCACTTTGACAAATGTTTGCACCGACACCGGCAATGTGGACGGCGGCACGACCTCCGCCGCTCCTTGCTCGGGATTATTCTTCGCTGTCTCGGCCTCCATCATGGTGGTGCTGTTGTCATCACCTTCCGAGTAATCCAGTTCTAAAATGACCAAGTTAAAAGGACAGCATCCTAAATATATATATATATATATATATATATATGTCCTTGTACGGAGGGTATGAAAAAAACAAACTAATTGCCGATACAACAAGAATGCACGAGTCAACACAGAAATATAATCGTTTTGAGATGGAATAAAAAATATTGAAGCCACCAAGAGTATATCTTCTCTTTTGTATCGCAAGAGATGTGTACATATTTATATCATTGACAAATAGACGATTCAATACATGTATTTCATTGTAGGCAAATCCTTGAGAAGCAATTAAAAATAATATAGTTCGCCCCCCATACAATATACAATATTGTATTGTTAACCATCTGGTCAAAGATTTCTAAAAAATATTTGTCCCATACCCTTGTTGAATATATATATATATATATATATATATAATATTTATTCAACAAGAGTAAAAATATTTGTCCCATACCCTTGTTGAATATATATATAAAATATATATAATATATAATATATATATTCAACAAGAGTATGGGACAAATATTTTTTATAAATCGATTTATATACTATATATATATATATATTCAACAAGGGTATGGGACAAATATTTTTTAGAAATCTTTGACCAGATGGTGAACAATATATATATACATATGGAGGGACGTACCAATCAGAGTGTACTTGCCCTTGACAGGTTCAAACGGGGGCGTCACTGGCCAATCGTTTTCTGTTTTCGCGGTAAATTTGGACACAAACAGCTGCTTGGCCGCGTCTTTCGTGAACGGCCCATGGAGTTTGCGCTGCACGAGGATGACATGGAGAGTCTGGTTGATCGGGAATGGAGCGCGTACCTGGGGGTTCTTGGCTCCGACGCGGCCCCACCTAAAGAACACGTACGCTCGATGCCCGTCGTCGTTGTCGATGATGATCTGAAACGAGTAAAACTTGTTGTGTCTACGATCGGCATAAGAACGAGACTGGAGGATCCGTGGAAGAGCAGGTAGATAGGTACCCTTTGACGCCGTACGACACGTCCGTTTGATTGAGCATCACAGACCACACGACATCATCTTCCTATTCGTGGAGAAGGACGAGGTTCCTCGATGTGACGCGAGTGGTGGTTACAGGTAGGTACCTGCAACACTGTGCCCTTGTCTTCCAAGCCAGAAAGTGGATCTACCACACCCTACGCATCATGAATGGATGGTTATGGATCACATGGAGGTCAATGGCGGCGGATGCATTCATGCCTTGCCGCGGCGGAGCAGGCGGCTGGTCATTTTGGTGAGGGTGTCGTCTTGGGAATGATGGCGCTGCCCTTTGGTTTTCGGGTCATCTTCGAACTTCGATTTGTGTAGTTGATATTTGTGTCAAACCTTATAATAGTGCGTATTTCATTTATTTCTCTTTCGAATGGATGAAATATCTTGAGATAGTATATACTAAGTACGTAGTAGTACTTCATACTATTTCATGTATTTACCTTTCGAATAGATGAAATATAATACTACGATTAGTAGTATTAATAATACTAATAGGACGATGCTGTGCAGTATGTACTAGTACTACGTAGTACCAAAAGGTACTTATTAATAGTATTAAAACTATACTGCATCCCTAGTATTACAATTATTAATACCGAAGAATTGTTGACATACCCGTACTGTACTTCGAAATATTGTCCAAAACACAATCACTCACAGTTCAAGCACCATCACTCTCTCTTCATTCTACCATTGCTCACAACGATCCAGTATAATAGGAACAGTACCAGTTATGGTGCATTTCATCCAGGCCTCCTAAAATTGTCGCTTACGACAAAATAAACAAATTAGTCTATTTTGTCGTCCTCGCCAGTGTTAGTTTGTC